ACCCACCAATCAGACTAGCCCTGCTGGCTCACATGATCCTTACCCACCAATCAGACTAGCCCTGCTGGCTCACATGATCTTTACCCACCAACCAGAAAGCACCCCGTGCCAACTGTCAAATCTCCCTGGCTCTATAAATATACAGAGCTGTTCCTCAATAAAGGAGCATTTTCTTCGATGACGAGCCTTGTTCGTTCTTTCAGGGATGCTAGCATTTTATGGACATTTAAAAGTTCCTTAAAGATGGTCGAAAGAATTAAATTCTTATATGTCTATTTGAAAACTCCTATTTTAAAATAGACTTTGGACCTGTATTTTAAAACATCACATTTGAAGGGAAAGTTACTATTTTAAAAATTAACATTTCTTTTGAAGTGAGATATAAATCTCATACTTGTGAAGGGCTTTTGGAGAGTTACGTAGAACAACACTTGATTTAGCTGATTATTATCATGTGCTTGATAGTGAATGCTTGGTATAGTGAGGTAGTTTGTAAAACGTATTTGGTGAAGACACAATTTTGTTTATTTATTAAAATTTAATGTATTACCAAATTATTAATTTGTCATTACAGTATATTATACATTTTTGTTAATTTGTTGATGAAAATTATGAATTTTATAAATCATGAATAGTAAAATCAATTGAAAAATTCTTTTTTGTTTTACTTATAGAATAAAATTCGAGGTCCTTCTATAAATGTTTTTAGAAATAAACATCAAAAACTGAAATCCAGCAAATACATACCTTTAAAGATTAAAAAAACGGAGTCGTTTGACATGGTCCAAGAACACCGGACAGCACTGAGAAGTATTGGTTTCTCCAAGGAGCTTTCCAAAAGTGAAACTTTAGAGGAGCCCTCGATACCACAAACTTCTTCCCAGGAGCCACATGTCTCTAAAATGAAAGAAAAATACCAGTGTATAGATCTTTTTACAAAAGGTAAGTTTGGGGTGGAGTTAAGCAATTCAGCAACCAGTAGAAGAAACTATTGACTTCTCCTGTGCTTGTAACAGAATTTCCTTGTTCGGACAATCTCTAAACTTTAAATTTGAGCCATGAAATATAGGGAGGTGTGATTAAAAGAGCTGCCAAACTCTTGGACCACCAGAAAACGAAGAGAGCATCTTTATGGGAAAAGGAAGTTTAGGGGACCAGACTGGCTGGCGTGTCTTCTAGCAGTGATGTTCTTTCTAGTGCAGATCCTCAGAGACTGTTTATTTTACTGTAACTAAAGCAGTCATTAGATTATAGGCCTGAATTCTGCTATCAAATGAGGTAGGTGAAGCAGGCAACTTACAAATAATACATACAATAAAGTACAAGTATGCTCCCCCAAAACACTACAAAGATTTTTTTTTTTTAAGCTGAAACGTTTTTCCCTGAAGACAAGATATATACCCCCTATCAGAAACTTAGTAAATTAGAAACCTGAGTTCTATTCAAGGAAAGTGTTATTTGCCTGAGTCATTACTGACTTAAATAAATTAACTTTCCTTTTTCTTTTTTTAAAAACATTTTAGTTGTATATGAACAGCATGCCTTTATTTTATTTATTTGTTTTTATGTGGTCCTGAGGGTCGAACCCAGTGCCTCACACATGTTGGGCAAGTGCTCTACCACTGAGCTACAGCCCCAGTCCCATAAAGGAACTTTTCATAGCATGTTTCTAGTTATGGCTTTCAAGCCCTCATGTTAATTTTCTCCTCTTAGTTATATTTGAAACATGCTCATTCATTCATTCATTCATTTGTATCTTTTTCACTCTACAAAAAGTGCCTGCCTGTGCCAAGCACTATGTTAGGAACTGAAGAAATTAAAATGAAAAGGCTCAGACAGTTGTGTGGGTTAAACACAGGGTGATCCTTGCCATAATAGAGGTAAATGCAGAGTGTTATGGAGACATCAAGCAGAAACCAAGAAAGGCCAGAATGACAATTTATTGGAGTAGATCTCGTGAGAAATGGTTTTAAGGAGAAGTTTGTTGAGAGGTAGGGCAGGGACCCAGAGGACACATTAAGCATTTAGAGCAAAGCATATTAAAGTTCTAAAGGGTAAAAAATCATGGTATATTTTTGGAACAAAGTGATGTGGTAAGAAATGAAGTTGGGAGGAGTGGTAGGGCTAGGTTTGAGGGAACAGAAGCAGACTAGGAATTGAATCTGTTTCATGAAAAACCAGAGATGACTTTGAAGCTGTGATTAAGGAAGGGGTCAGGTGTGACCTGTTATTTCTGTCAGGAAATAAAACTGGCAGCAGAGGCTTCGGAGAGAATGGCACCAGAGAGTTTAGTGGGGAGGCTGGCTGAGACACAGAGACGGGGCAGGTAAGAGAGGAGGGCTCTCTCCCAGGGACACAGTGAAGCATGGCGCGTAGAGAGGAGATGGCATGTAAGTGCAGGAACACTAGTCCTGAGTGACTTGCTGTGGCAAAATTGCTCTTTGGTCAGATAAGTTTGAAAAAATACCTATTATTTTCCCCTCTTGAACATTCATATTGATCATTAATATATTAAAACCTCTGGAAAATACTGCAAAAAAGAAATTAGTTTACTGTTTTCATTTGACCAAAGAATACCATTGTTTTTCATATTACTCCAATTAATGTTCTTGAGTCTGTTTTTTTTAAACAATATATATTTTGGTAAATTCAGACTTAGAGAACTATTTTAGGATGACTTAATTATTTTTTGGAAGATCAACTGGTTGTATAATGAAAATTAAGATGTTGAGTTTTCTAGACTTTGAAACTAGACAGATATCATTGAATTGAAACAGGGAATCAGTGGGTGTTTTAGTCTGTTTCTGCTGCTATAACAAAATACTTGAGACTGGGTAATATGTAAATGGTCTAAGTTTATTTCTCACAGTAATGGAGGCTGGAAAGTCAAAGATCAAGGCACAAAAAATTGGTAAGTGGTAAGGGCCTGCTCTCTGCTTCAAAGATGGTGCGTCAACATTGCATCCTCTGGAGGGAATGTCCCTTACATAGTTGGAGGGATGGAAGAGAAGAGGGCTAGGCTGCTCTCTGAAGCATAGTTTATGAAGGCATTAGTCTTATCCATGAAAGTGGAGCCCTTATGACCTAACCCCCGGAACCCCACTTCTTAACACTATTGCACTGGGTCTTAGATTCCAGGAATAATTTTGGAAGGACACAAACCTTCAGGCCATATCAGAGAAAAGCAGATATTGGATAGACAGGGAAAGGATTGGGAGAAGGATTGGAACGTTTACTTTAGACCTGTTAAATAGGTATGTGTATGAGATAGTCATTAGGAGGTTGGAAAATGAGATCTGGTACTTAAGAGACTGAAGACTGAGGATGTGTGTATATAGGAGGGTCCATTACCATGCTGAGACTTTGAGGTTCATGTATGTGTTCCCCAATAGCTATTTATTAAATATTTGATGTATAAGGAACAAAAGATATGCTACTTGCCCTTAATAGTTCAAATTTGATGGACATGATTGCATGCTGTGGGATGAAGGAGGACAGGTAATTAAAATATACCAAATTGATAATTATATATAGAAACAAATCTATTGATTTGAAATCAATTGGGGGATACCTCTTTCAGATTAGCAGCCAGAGACAGGTTCCTAGGAAATTTAACATCTTTGGTAAATTTTGAAGTATGAATAATTAACTCAAGAAAGAAGAAAAACCCCATCTAGTTAGAGGTCTTAGCATTTTCCTGATGATAGAATTCTGAAAAGGTGACTATGGTATATTTAAAGGAGCTAAATTGTTCTTCTAGACCTGGAACATGAGGCTTCGGGAGTGGTAACTAGACACTGAAGAACATTGTCTTAGTCAGCTTTTTTGCTGCTGTGTCTGAAGGATCTGACCAGAACTACTATAGAGGAGGAACAGTTTATTTGAGGGCTCACGTTTTCAGAAGTCTTAGTCCATAGAAAGCTGGCTTCAATTCTCGGGGCTCGTGATGGGGCTGAACATCATGGCGGAGTGTGTGGCCTGGGGAAGCCGCTCACATCCTGGTGATCAAGAAGCAGAGAGAGAGTCCACTTGCCAGATACAAATATATTCTCAAAGCCATGCCCCAATTCCCACCTCCTCCAGCCACACCCTACCACTTCAGTTAATTCCTATCAGGGGGTTAAATCACTGATTGGGTTAAGACTCTCAGAACCCAATCATTTCTCCTCTGAACCTTAAATTGTCTTATATGTGAACTTTTGGAGGACACCTCACCTCCAAACCATAACAAACATTGACTTTTAACCTAAAAGTATAGGAGTCATACAAATGTTTTCAAGAAAAGTTGCAATCACATTTGCACTTTAGAATGTTTACTGGCAGCAGAGATGGAATGTGATCTTGGAGGAATAGAGACCAGTATGGAAACGTTAATTTACATGAGAAAGGATGACTTAAATTAAGACAGTTGTACTGGGGATAGCACTGAAGGAAAGGGATTTAGAGGTATTGGAGAGGTAGAGTGATCTAGACTTGGTCAGCAGTGGAGTATGAGAAACTGGGAAGAGATGTGGCCTTGGCCTAGAGGTTTCCTCTAAGAGGCAACACAGAACCATTGATGTACTAGAACCCAGGGCAATTTAGAAGGCTGGAGAGCATCCTATGTAAATGGCAATGCTGCCACCAGGAATAAGTTGGAATGTAGACCATTGCCTCCTGAGCCTTGTAGCTCTAGGTGAAGAAGTGTTATGGTGGTTTCTGAATGCCTTTAGGATTCAGAAACCATATATATATATAAATATATATCTAAGAAAGTACCAACTAGTTTGCAATGGGAAATGAAATTTCCACAGAGATACCCCAGAGACATTTGGGGCTTTTTTTTCTTTTTTTTTTTTGAGCAAATACCCTTATGATTTGACATTGCAGCAAAAAATAATATAAAGGATATATCTTTCACCACCTAGCCCATTATCTCAGATGGCCTCAGGGCAGTCACCACTAAGAGACTAAAGCCAAGGGGTAAGGAAACCAAGGCAATGTTAGAACTCTGTATAAAAAATGACTCTGAGAAAATTTGGTAATATACACTATGGAGTTTTTTTTTTCAGTCCTAAAGAAAAATGAATTATGTCATTTGCAGGAACATGGATGGAACTAGAGACCATTATGTTAAGTGAAATAAGTAAAACTCAGGAGGTCAGGGGCCATATGTTTTCTTTCATATGTGGAAGTTAGAGAAGAAAAAAGCAAACAGAGGAGGGGATAGATCTCATGAAAACCAAAGGGAGGTCAGTAGAGGAAATGCTCCAAGGGGTGGGAGGTGGGGAGGAAGGGGGATTGCTGGCGAGGGGTATGGGCCAAATTATATTGTGTGCATGTATGAATATGTTCCAATAAACCCCATCAGTACGTAAAACTATAATGCACCAATTTTAAAAAGTGGGGAAAAGAAACCTCAGGGGGGGGGGAAATAAGACTGAATGTGGTTATTGTCATGTAAAATTAATTGGAAGCAAATAGATTGTAAAAAAAAAAATCACCAAATTTTTAAGAAAATTCCATTGCTGAAAAAACCATGAGACTTGATTTAATTGAATGTTCACAAAGTAAAATAACCCACAGGAAGTGAACTACACACATTTTGCAGCCTCTAGGGAGGATGACAGCAAGATGTGACTGGGGAGCAAGAAATAAGAGCCTTGAGAGGCTCGGGATCCAGGAGACACTACAAAAACAAAAAGACCCAGAACAACAACAGAATGCTTCCCAGAATAGAGTCACTGTGTGTGTTCAAAGAACATCCCTAGGGGGTCTTCTTGGTGGCTTTCCAGCAGCCCAGCAGAATTCTGTACCCTCTCTGGATCAGGAACCTCTATGCATATCCTCTCCTTCCCTTTCACTAAGGGAAGTTTCTTGCGGTTTTCTTGTACCTGCTTTGTTACTGCATGTCGTGAACTTCAGGGGGAAGCTAGAGATAATTTTTGAATTTGGTTCACTTG